AATTAGTTGAATAATAACATGTTGCAATGTGTTTTAGAAAATAACAATTGAAAATGAGATATATTCGAAGAACAATCTCCAACAAAATTTGCTCGTAAAAGACAGAAGTAAAGCGAAGTTGTTTGGTTTAAAGAAAATTATTCGAAGAAGAATAAAAGTTATCAAACATTGCTCGAACTTTAACAAACAATTGTAAATGGATTTTATTTAAAAAATTGTAATTTGCCTAGAAGCTATATTTTATTTTAATTATTTACGTTTAATTCTCTATATTTTTGTTGATTTAAAAGTAAAATTTGATTAAAAATATTGTGTTCTCACACATCAAAAAACAAAATTTGATGTTATTTTGAAATGTGTGTCTAAAGATAATTTTAATTTTACTGATATTTTCTTTATTAATTTAAAAAATTAACGTAGTAAAAAATTGTATTGTCATACATCAAAATAAAAACTGACTCCATCTGCACACCAATTTTACTTTTTCATTGTTTGATTGCATTTGTCAATCATTTCAAGAAGTGTTGTCACGTATTAAAGTTTTTACCAATTATCTTTGAATTGTGTACCCACATCTGTCACACATTGAATAATCTTATCTTCTCATTGTTTGATTCCATTTGTCATTCATTTCAAGAAGTGTTATCATGTACTAAAGTTTTTTACTAATTATCTTTGAATTGTGTGTCCACATCTGTCACACATTGAATTGATGTGTACATTTACTTTATATATTGTCATTTTTTCAAACATCAATTTACAATACGAAATGTCGTCTATAAATTAAATTGTTTGTTGTGATGTTATGCATTACACCTTCATCAAACTGCACTGAATTTTTTACGGTTTTTTAAAATCCTAACAGCACCATAAACCGCAATCTTAAAAAATCGAAACTGCACTGAATGTTTTACGGTTTTTTAAAATGTTAACAGCACCGCAAACCCCAATCTTAAAAAACTGAACTGTACCACGCAAGATACATTGTTCGACTCAGTTTTTCCGTTTCAGCTCGGTTTTGCTCACATTTGTATAGAATGCAGGATCAAGACAATTCTGCATATAGGGAGGGATGGCTGGTTGGTCGACCCACACCCACCTATCCTTAAGGCGGCTTTCACAGAATTTGCCAAAAAGGAAAGACCATAAGATAAGAATTTCTGTCATATATTTAAATCTATAATATATAATCTAAAGCAATCCCATTGCTGGACGAGTGAATAAACTCATCTTCAAACAAATTCCAAAATTACAACTATGAAAACACCTTCTCCTTATTCAACTTTCAAAGTCATCTCTAGCAAGCCCATAAATGTCAACTACTGCAAACCACAGACTTCATCAAACACTACATGTAACAGCACACACCGTATTTATAATTTCATATCAATGACCCGAAAACAAAGCTCTTGAGAGACCATCTTGGAAGCACATTACAATCATGCTTCGAGTTCTGGTTCGACTTCTTTCCTCTTTTTGCCTTTTCTAATGTTCGAGTCACCCTGTTCTTGCAGTTCAGCTTTTTTTTGGGCACGAACCATGGCCCGTCTGGCGCGGGGCCGCATCTCACGCACTTGTCTTGCAGGCATCACATAAGGTTCGAGAGGCTTATCACCAAAAGGGTGCTCGTCCCCAGAAAATATCCTCAGCTTTCTGTCTCGATCCTGAATAACAAAGGCCGACTTCATAAGCTAAATAGAGCAAATGAGAGAATATAAACACCTTTCATTAAAGAACACAAGGTCATGTGCTCTGACAGAGTTAAGACAACTCGTGTGTCTGGCATAGATGGAATAAACGAACAACCATGTTTGTTTTTTCTTCAAACACACATTATAAGATAATTACACAAACCACCTGCAAAGGTACCAGAGATCAATTAAAAACTATTACAAACTGCAATCACCCAGTTTAGATTTGGATTTGCCTGACATAGGATCCCCTCTTGATGGTGTGATCATAAAAATAGGAAAAAGAAAATGTCCATAGTTGTGATTTTGAAAGATTATTGGGTTATTTTGCAATTAGGCTATACCTCAGAGCTAGATTTTGTGATTAACCAACATGCAAGTGATCTTGTTATTGAACTCCAGAACTGATGCTTAGAGAGTTTAAAATTGTTCAACAATGGAACAGATTATATGGATAAAAAATGTCTCTCCAGTCAGAAATGTGATGTTGAGACATTCAATGTCCTTTGAAGGGGCATTTAGTTCCTCTTGTTACTAATTCATCATCTACAAGAGATAGCACTCCTAGGCGCCACTTGTACTTTCTGCTGAAAGTGAGAAATACAGCATTATTGAAGCTCAGCAAGAGGGACATAGTCAACAACTCACTTTGCTCAATTCTGCAAACAAACGAACGCTAACATTTCCCAATTTCCCTTCAAAGTGGTCAATACTGTCATTGGCAAACCATTCAATTACAGTACATCCAATTAACCTCAGAAGAGAACTTTACAAAATAATGTTGATGAAATAAAAAAATAGAGGATGCATTCGTATGACAAGAACAACAACCCACCAAGCAGAATAGCAGAATAGACACTCACATCGCGCAGTTTGTTCCTAGGGAGCATTCGCAGGACAGCTTTGCGAATAACTTCCGTGGGGTCTTTGGCCATTTGGTCTTTCAATGTTCTCTCCTTCAGATGGCCTATATACCTGTTTGATCCACAATGTCACAAAAAAACATCAGTACATAACAAATTCATTCCATGCCACAGGAGGTCATTGAAACTTTTCCTCAGATCATAAGATTCATAAAATACTAACCAGCATGCAGAAGTATTAACAAATATAATCAGAAAAAATAGGAAAAATCTAAAGATGGAACTTTCCCTGTATGCCATTGGTAAACTTTATTCATCATTTTCCTCCCAGTGACATACACATCTTTTGCATTAATGATAACACACATATCCCCATCATCACGATTGGGGGCGTAAGTGGGCTTATCCTTGCCCTGAACCACGGTTGATATGTGTGATGCTAGTCTTCCCAAGACCTAATAACAAAGATCAAAACTTTACATCAAACTGTAGCTCATAACTAGGTACATTTTTACCGATTCTCAAGGTATGGCGTACTCTAGACCTGTCCCTTTGCATCAAATACTCTCCACCTCAGGCCGTCCAAATTGATCCGTCTCAGCCCAGCAAGTGCTTTCTGTGGGATTTTAGACCAACGATGAACAAAAAAAAAATCAACATGTACAATGTTATAGAACAGACCATGAAGGGGTCTGGAAGTATTCAACTAT